CGGCCTTCCAGCCATGGGCTTGCACTCCGACCGCGAGACGGACGAGGACAGGTTCATCTTCAGAGTCCCGGAGCCGGAGCCCGACGAGCTCCTCGACACCGTTGCTGTCCATGCGGATTGGGCTTCCGAGAAGATGCCTGTCCTGTATGCGACGGGCTCCCAAACATTGCATGAAGTCTTATGTGGCCATGCAAACAAAGCTGCACGACGACGGGTACGAACCCTTACTCAGGAGGGTGCTGTGCCGGATCGTTGATCATATGGGTTGCGGGTGGCTTCCGCCACGTATCAATCAAGACCCAGTGCAATGGTGGAAGGGGAGCTACAACAAGGTGGCGGACGGCCTGGCCACCTTCACAATGGATACCCGGCGAACGTGGACGAGCAGAGACGCACACCACATGTACATTCAGGAGGCCAACGTTGCGATCCACACGGACGAGGGCCTGCGTGACGGCGATTGTGCCGCGGCTACTTGGATAATTGGTTTATGGGGGAAGCCTGCCGGTAGCCATCAGTATCGGTATGAACCCTCGCTGTGCACGGCACATTTCTTCATTCACCATGCACGGCTTTCGGAACAGAAGTTATCGCATCGGAAGAATCGTTAAAGGAGGTTGCCGCTCTACTTTTTCAACTGAGACAAGCAGCTGGCATTGAGGTGTCTTGAGACCGTCATGGATAGAACACAACAAAACATAACCGCCAGGCAACGGAGAGGAACATAGAAGTATCGGCCGGCTGACGCTACGAGCTTTCGCTCCGCGGCTTGCGTAAGAAAACATATCCGCCGGCATGGCGCAACCAGGCTCCAGAAGAGCAGTGGTGAAACTAGAAAAATCAACAACGGCACAATCAGAAACTTGTGGCGCTCCGCGCGGACTTCTTGGATCCGCGCTGGACCGCCCCTCTCGGCGCGCGGAGCGCGCCAGGGGCAGCGCCGGATGCGCCGCTGGGGGGCCCAGCGCGGATCCAAGAAATCCACGCGGAGCACCAACATATTATGTTCATGCCGCTTCTTGGCGGCGCGCAGATGGGGTACGGGGAGGGGGGAAGGCTTCTTGGAAGGGGGCTGCTTCTTGGAAGGCGCTGGCCTTACATGTATACAGAAAGCCCGCGCCTTCTAAGAAGCAGGGGTGCTTCTATCGGGGACGCGCAAACATGGATTAGCGATCCATGGATTTGGCCCGCGGTCGCCAAATCCATGGATCGGGGGAGGTGCCCTCCCCAAAACGCGGCTGGTGCCGCCTCGTCCGGCGGCGGAAATCCGCGATCTCCCATAGAAGCGGGACCCGCCGCTAATCCACGCCCCCTTGATCCATGCTTGCGATCGCCTGATTCTAAGACGCATTCCCCCCTCCCCCCCGCCCCCCTCTGCGCATGGCCGAGTTTCCTCTTCTTCGAGGCACGCAGCGGCTACGGCCGCCGCCCCGGGCGCCGGGCGAAGTAGGGCGCAGGGCACGGCTGCGCTGGCCGCGGGGCCGTCCCGGCTCGGGCCGGCCCAGCTCGCGCCCGCAGAGTGCGGCGACGCAGCCAGGACGAGAATAGCATCGGGCGGGGTTACATCGAGAATGTCCCCAGACATGATCGCGTCGTAAAACAATCAGGACGGCCAACTTTTTGCTATTTTCGGCCCTTGGGGGCCCACGCTGGGCCCCGGGGCCGTCAAGAAACGGCGCAGGATGAACAACCAGCCCCGGGGAATGGGTTGGGACTTCTGGGGACGCCGTCCCGAAAAAATCAGGACGTCGCATGTCTGGGTCTGAGATCCGGCGGGATCATGCTGTGTTTGAGGGGGGAGAAAGGGGAGGAAGGGGCGAAAGGGAGACCTCGCACACGCCTGATTGTTGTCCGGCTCGTGCCGGGGAGTCGGCAGGCAACCCTGCCGCAAGACCGTCACCGCCCTGTCCTACCGAGTGAGGCCTGCAGGGAACCAGATGGCGACTGAGACGAATTGCCCTCAAAGCGAATCGGGCCGCAGGTGCATACATTAGACGAGCGCGTTCCACTACTCGCAAGATGACTACTCGCAAATGGCGTGGATCCGCTGGGGGGGGGATCTACGAGAAGTTGTATCGAATCAGACATGTGTTTTTTTTTGCTGGCGTTTGCGAGTAGGCACTTTGCGAGGAAAGGAACGCGCTCGGTGCGTACATTGTGCACACATCCGGCGGGAAAACTGTATCGGGCGGCGCGGCCTCCTCGGAGCGTTATACGGAACGCTCTGGAGCGGATTTCTCCTCGTCCCAGCCCCGTCCGAAGCGTGGCCCTCCCGTGCTCTGCGGGCGGTAGCGAGAGGCGTGGTTCTGCACCAGCGACCCTTCAAGACATCCTGCCACAGAACAGCGCAAAACGCTGGGAAATGCAAGCGGTTCGCTTCAAACGGCTTCGAGTACGAATCGGAACTCCCAACATCAGACCACTCTGCACGGGTCTCGGCGGCCAATCGCGGCCTCTCCGACCGCGCCACTGGGGATCTGGAGGAGCGCGCGAGTCCTGGCCTGCATGCTGCCGGAAACGTCCCCTGCGCATGATCTTTAGGTTGGGCTCACCGCCTCGCATGTTGTACTTGCTGTCGCAACCTGGCTCGTCCAAGGTAGTTCAGCATCACTGGCGACACGTCGATCGTGGTGCCCGCGTCGGCGAACGCAGATGATGCACCATGCGCAGAGTGCATGGGCGGACAGACAATGCGCGCGCCCCTCGAAGCAAAATAGCCAAGGATCGTGACGCAAACTCACGGGACGCCCCCCAACCCCATCGGCGCATGTCAGCGACCCTCTGCATAAAAACTCGGAGGTCCGCGCAGACTTCTCGGATCGGCGCTGGACCCCCCTCCCTGGCGCGCGGAGCGCACCGGGGGCGGCGCCGGAGGCGCCGCGGGGGGGCCCCAGCGCCGATCCGAGAAATCCGCGCGGACCTCCGAGTTTTTATGTTTATGCAACTTTTTGTTCCCCTGGCTACTTGGTGGCACATGGCCGATTCTGGAGATCCCGCCGCCCCCGAATTGTCATCTGTTTGGGGGGGCACCTGCCCCCGGCGGAGGCCGGCGGACCCGCCGCCGTCTTGCCCACGCCCGCCTCCTGCCGCCCCCTCTGCCGACGAAGGGATAATTAATCGGCCTGTTCCATTCCTTGGGGGGCGCGGGGCCGTTCTGGGACGCCTCCCTGGGGAGACGAGGTGTCATGCGTGTCTCACCTCCCCCCTCCCCCCTGGGAGCGGGGGGAGGGGCGTCAGTCACATGCTGCGGCCTTTTGGGCCCGGGGGCTTGCAACCATCACGTCTTGCGGCCTGCTCACTCGGCGGCACGCTAACGGTCGCCAGTGCCGAGGCGCCAAGGGGCCACGAACGCGCAGGCACACGCCTGCGACGGCACAACACGGGCCAGCGGCATGAGCGAAGCGATCCAGCAACGACGGAAAAAGACTCCGCTACTTTCAGCCTCTGGGGGCCCTCGCCGAGCCCCAGGACCTCCAGGAAACGACTCGGGATGAGAAGCCTGGAGACTTCTGGGGGTCGCCGTTCCGAACCATCATTTGAGCAGGGACCGACCGTCCCGGCATTCCTATAGTCCTGCCACGACATGTTCTCAGAACCCAGAAATGTTCTAAGGACAGAAACAATGTTCTCTGGTAGGACTCTAGGCGAGCCAGGACGCTTCGCCACTGCTTGAATCATGACGTCGGGGGCCCGGGGAAGCTGACCGCGGAGGCGGGGTGGAGAGGACGGGGGCGGCCGCGGCCAGCCGGCCCCGCACAGGCGAGGTACTCGGGCGTGCAGTCCTCCAACAGCACGGGGGCACACGCGCCCCGCACATGTGAGCGGCGATCACAGGCGGATCTCACGCCAGGTGACGCAGCGATGATGGGCCTGTCTTTCACCACCACCATAAGTTGGAAGGGGAGGGGGTCCTTCTCCCCCTCTTGTCCTTCCTCCTCCTTCACCTCTTCCACCTCCTTCCCCCCTCCAACTTCTGCTGGTGGTGGAGAACAGGCCCATCAAGCGACCTCACGCCGCAGCTTGCGCGGGCCGCCAGCGCGGCGCGCTGCGTTGGAAGCGAGGGCGCTCACGCGCGACCTTACGCGGGCAGCTAACGCGCCAACGTCGGCGCAGACGACCCGCTTTTTCTGCGCCGCTCATGTGCATCCAACTCTCGCCCGGGCTGGTCAGGCCCTGCGTGCGGCTGGCTCGTGTCGTGTCGACCATAGCGTCGGCTTCTGACACCACGGGGATCGTTCAGCCTTGAACGATCGGACGCTTCTCCGAAGTGTCAGATCGTTCCGCATCGACCGACTCTGGGTCGCTGGCGGCATTCAACGTTAAACGCCGGCGGCGGGGTCGCCGCCGGTCGACACGACGCGGACCTACCGTATACAGCCTCCTGGTGTCAGCGGTACGACCTGTCGCCATCCGTCTCGAGTCCAGGCTGGTGCGCCAGACGGACCGGTCGCGCAGAGGATAGCCAGCGCTGACACACAGGGGACCCCGTGCCAGAACTCAGCTGCCCTGGCCAACGCAGACTATTGTGATGATGGCGATGCTGGTGTCGATCACGATGATGATTCACACGCCGAGCGCTGACAAGGCGAACTGCCTAGCTGAGCGTGAACGCCGACAGCGACAGACCCGTCTGAAACTGCGCACCATATGGAAGTACCTTTATCGAGAGTAGAACGTAAGATGAAACCGAGCACCCAAAAAGCTTCTGCACCCTTAGACGTGTGCCGATGTCCTACTGATAATCTGCAGCACAGACAGTTCCAACTGCCTGGAGTAACAAGCCAGGGGATGCCCGAGGATCGATTGAGGATCCCTGGGTGTAGCCCTGGCATCAGTAGCAGAAGGCAATGCGCAACGTGAGCTGTCATGACATCTCTTGTAAAGCGCGAGCCGTGGAGAACGAGATGCTGACATTGTCAATGCGCAGTGCGACATATCAGCGCTGACACTGCGAATTCAAGGAGCCCTCGCCGAAGGGAAGAGGACGCCCAACGAAGAGCCTATTTCCTCCGAGGCCGCGGGCGCAACTTCTTCTCCATATACACCTGCCCCTCCTCGACCTCGAAGTCCACCGCGAACCTCATGTCTTTAAACGTATTGAAGCCCAAGCGCTGGTAGAATGAGACAGCAGTGGCAAGAGAGGAGAGACACACCTCGTAGATATCGCCTCGCTTTTTTGCCGCCTTCATCACCTCTTCCATGAGGTGCTTCCCGAGACCCATCCTGCGACACTCCGAGGACACGGCAAGCTTCGCAATCGCCAAGCTGCCGTTGACGCTCTTGGTGACGATGAAGCCGAACATCTCGGCCTGGTCGGCAGAGACTAGCAACGTCAGTTGCCACTTTGACTTCTTCGTGATGCCCCTCAAGCAATCCTCGCCGAAAACAGCCTCCGACAGCGCCCGCGTTTCGTCGAGCAGCCGCTGATCGAGAACCAACAACGACATAAGCGTGGACACTCGAAGGCCCGCGCGGATCTCGTCGATCGGCGCTGGACCCCCCTCCCCCAGCTTTGGATGGCACAGGAGGAGGAGCAGGAGGAGATGGAGGAGGAGGAGGAGGAGGAGGAGGAGGAGGAGGAGGAGGAGGAGGAGGAGGAGGAGGAGGAGGAGGAGGAGGAGGAGGAGGAGAAGAGGGAGGAGGAGGAGGAGGAGGAGGAGGAGGAGGGGCTCCGCCCCAGGGGGGCGGGGAGGGGTGGCCGGCGCCGGCCCGGGAGACCCGCACGGACCTCTCCAGCAGCTCGGAGTCGAGCTGCCACGGCGAGGGCAAGCTGCACGGGGAACGGGGCCACGTGCTGCCCCCCCCCAAAGCGCCTGGGTGCATACGCGGAGCGTCGGAGAAAGCAACCAGGGAAGGGCCCAAGGAACAGCGAGCCCCTCTCTCGAACCTCCCAGGGGCTCTTGTTTCAGCGTCTGCAAGCACATCGTTTGACCGATCCCTGTCCCCTCTGGCACGGGCCTGGCACCTGTGGCCGACTTCCTCCCCCAAGGCAAGGATCTATGCTGTTTTGGACGCCCGAGTTATCCGGGGTAACTCGGGTCCGGGGTAACTCGGGTTTGGGTTCCCGAAAAACGAACCCGAGTTACCCCTGACCCGAGTTACCCCTGATGATTCGGGGCTCTGGACGCCCGAGTTATCCGGGGTAACTCGGGTCCGGGGTAAGTCGGGTTCGGATTCCCGAAAAAGGAACCCGAGTTACCCCTGACCCGAGTTACCCCTGATGATTCGGGGCTCTGAGCTGTTCCTCTCGGGTCTCGCAGGGCCCATCCCCGTGTGGGGCCAGGACGCCCGGGGACCACCCGGCCCCATCCGGGCGGGTGGCCTGCTGGAGCTGAGGTGCCATGGCCCACTGGGCATGGGGATCGTTCGTGCGAGGTTGAGTCTTGGCTGTACGCTGACGCCGTTCTTCAGAAGAAAAGCAAAAGGCGTAAACCTGAACTGCCAGACTTCCGCGCGGGCTCCACCCTGGGATTGCCGCTGGGCCCCCCTCCCTGGCTCGCGGAGCGCGCCAGGGGCGGCGCCCGAGGCGCCGCCAAGGAGTTCCAGCGGCGATCCCAAGGAATGCGCGCGGAGCTCCCAGAGCTTCTGCTCCTGCAATTTCTCCGTCCTGAGAGGAGGAGGGGGAGCAGGAAGAGGAGGAGGAGGAGGAGGAGGAGAAGGAAGACAGGAGGAGGAGGAGGACAGGAGGAGGAGGAGGAGGACAGGAGGAGGAGGAAATCAGGAGGAGGAGGAGGAGGACCAATGAAAATCCAAGAATCATCAACGATGTGGGAATTAACCCTCCCTCCAAGCTCCCTCTTCATAGGCCCCTAGAACGGTTCATTTCCATTGAGGGAATTGCCTCGTTGGGAGACAACCGTTTGGAGATCCTGAAACATGCCAGCCCATGGTTCTCGGGATTTCAACGCCACGTATCGACTTGACTGCTGCGTCTCGACGATCCAGCATCGTGCCAGAAAGCCTTTTTTGGGACTTCAGCACCGCGAGTCAGCATAACTGTTGCACCCGCGAAATCCTGAATCCTGTCAGATCACCATTTCTGGTACACTGAACATGGGAATCCGCGAACTCTTGCGAATTTTGAAAACGAATGTGCGCGGCGCTCAAACAAGAACCAAATTTTGAAAACCAACCGCCCTCAATCCGTGAAGCTCTTGTACACTGCTAGAAGGAATGTGCGCGGCGCTAAGGCGAGAACCACATTTTGAAAATCACCCGCCCTCAGTCCGTGAAGCTCTTGCAATTCTTTAGAACGAATGTACGCGGCGCTAAGGCGAGAGCCACATTTCGAAAATCACTGGCCCTCCATCCGTCAAGCTGTTGTCACTTTTCAAGCTTCAGAATCATAAGTGGTGAGGAAGTCCCCGGCGAAACGCCCGGCCCGCCCTAAAAACTGGCCTCGGGGTGCGACAGGGAGGAGTTATATCTAGAAGGAGAAGGAGAGGAGGAGGAGGAGAAGGAAGACAGGAGGAGGAGGACAGGAGGAGGAGGAGGACAGGAGGAGGAAATCAGGAGGAGGAGGACCAATGAAAATCCAAGAATCATCAACGATGTGGGAATTAACCCTCCGTCCAAGCTCCCTCTTCATAGGCCCCTACAACGGTTCATTTTCATTGAGGAATTGTCTCGTTGGAAGACAACCGTTTGGAGATCCTGAAACATGCCAGCACATGGTTCTCGGGATTTCAACGCCACGTATCGACTTGACTGCTGCGTCTTGACGATCCAGCATCGTACCAGAAAGCCTTGTTTGGACTTCAGCACCGCGAATCAACATAACTGTTGCACCCGGGTAATCCTGAATCCTGTCAGATCACCATTTCTGGTGCATTGATCATGGGAATCCGCGAACTCTTGCGAATTTTGAAAACGCGCGGCGCTCAAGCAAGAACCAAAGTTTGAAAACCACCCGCCCTCAATCCGTGAAATCTTTTCCATTTCTAAAACGAATATGCGCGGCGCTCAAGCCAGAACCAAACTTTGAAAACCACCCGCCCTCAGTCCGTGAAGCTCTTGCAATTTTTAGAAACGAATGTGCGCGGCGCGAAGGCGAAAGCCACATTTTTAAAACTACCCGCCCTCAACCCGTGAAGCTCTTGCAATCTTTTTAAACGACTGTGCGCGACGCTCAAGCGAGAACAACATTTTGAAAACCACCCGCCCTCAATCCGTGAAACTCTTGCAATTTTTAAAACGAATGTGCGCGGCGCTCAAGCAAGAACCACATTTTGAAAACCACCCGCCCTTAATCCGTGAAGCTCCTGTACATTGCTAGAACGAATGTGCGCGGCGCTAAGGCGAGAACCACATTTTGGAAACCACCCGCCCTCAATCCGTGAGGCTCTTGCAATTCTTTCAAACGAATGTGCGCGGCGCTAAGGCGAGAGCCACATTTCGAAAATCACTGGCCCTCCATCCGTGAAGCTGTTGCCACTTTTTAAGCTTCAGAATCATAAGTGGTGAGGAAGTCCCCGGCGAAACGCCCGGCCCGCCCTAAAAACTGGCCTCGGGGTGCGATAGGGAGGAGTTATATCTAGAAGGAGAAGGAGAGGAGGAGGAGGAGGAGGAGGAGGAGGAGGAGGAGGAGGAGGAGGAGGAGGAGGAGGAAGACAGGAGGAGGAAGACAGGAGGAGGAGGAGGAGGAGGAGGAGGAGGAGACCGAGGAGGAGATTGTTGGCTCTCGAGCTGGAGTCCGCTGTCTGCACCCTGGACCCTCACGTTGCAGAGCAGCCGCAACTCGCCCCTCGCTGGCCTCCCGCGCGGCGCCCGCGAGGCGCCCAGCCCGGCGGGCCTCGCCGGGGCCTCCGTGGCCTCCGAGTCGCTCGACCTGCAGGAGCTGCCGGGGCCGTCGGTGGACGCGCCCGCCGAGCACGGGCCGCGCGCGGAGGTAGAAGACAAAAAAACACGCCAAACATAAACTTGTGGCGCCCCGCGCGGATTTCTCGCATCTGCGCGGGAGCCCCCTCCATGGCGCGCGGAGCGCGCCAAGGGCGGCGCTGGAGGCGCCCCTGGGAGGGCCCAGCGCCGAGCCAAGCAATCCGCGCGGAGCGCCAAAAGTTTGTATGTTCATGGCGCTTTTTCTTCTTCGAGGAGGGGGACTTCTGCAGCAGCAGCTGGTACGCCGGGTCCAGCGGCTCGGCGCCCGGCGGCAGGTCTGGCACGGCTTCGGGCTGCGCACAGGCAGCCCCTCCAGGCAGTCCTGGGTGGCCTCAGCAGGCCCCCCGAGCAGTCCCAGCTGGCTGGCCACGAGAGGCCCTCCGAGTGGCAGCAACTAAGCTTGGTCAGGAACAGCAGCTCGGCCGTCTGACCTCGGCAAGGCTGCACTCGGCCAAGCTGAGTTCGGCCCGGGCCGAGTTCCGCCTGGTCGAGTTCCGCTGGCCGACTTCCGCCTGGCCGAGGACTCCCTGGGGTGGGCTGTCTGTGCGCAGCCCGAAGCCTTGCCAGGCGTGTCGGGGCCGGCGGGGTTCATCGCAGCTTGCGGCCGGTCGGGGCGGCGCAGATCGAAAGAGAGGCACAGAGAGGGTGTTCTTTGAGTCGAGTCGGCTGCAGATGGTGTTTGTGATGATGGTGACGGTGGTGTGTGATGATGGTTGTGGTGGTGACGACGATGACGAGGCTGATGCTGATGATGTTGATGACGATTCGTCGTCGTCCTCCTCCTCCTCCTTCTGCTCTGGAAACGCCTGGGAACCTAAACTTGGGGATACCTCCCGAGGACATACACGGAAACTTGCCCAGGCACGTACCCAACCCACCTGCAACATGTGCTAGTACCTACGGCCCAGCCAGAACAACTAATTACGTATGGGGATGTGGCGGGGTGAACAACCTGTACATCATGCACGGTTTCCCGCGCACATGGGGCATGTGACAGATTTTGACGGAACTCCACGAGGAACAATGTGGCGCGGGAGATGTAGGACGAAGACGGAAAATGAAGGGCATGATACTGATACTGCAGCGCCTCGGAAGGGGGGACATCGAAGACACAGAAAACATGTCATTGAACAAAAAATGCGACGCAAAAGGCGAAATCTCAATCTGATCTGGGTGGGACCG